CGGGCCGGCCTCATGGAGCTCGAGCACCAGTCGTGTTGTACTTCGGAGATGGAAATATACTTGCCTTCGCATTGGCGCCCGAGGCCATCGTCGTCGGGATCGCTTTATTCCCTCGCACCATCTTTCCCATGGCATCGCCAGCCAAAACCCTCCCTACGCATCCAATTCCCCTCTCTGCTTTTCTTTCCCATTTTTTTCCCTGGCTACAAACTCGTTCCATTCCCATCCTGAAGAGATCCATTTGATTGAGACAGACATTCTGAGCTCGATCTGTCGGGGAAATGAGGATCATGGTGCGGACGCTGCGCGGGGACCGGGTGGCGCTGGACGTGGACGGCGCGACCACGACCGTGGCGCAGGCCAAGGGCATGGTCATGGCCCGGGAGCGCGTCCCGGTGGCCATGCAGCGCCTCTTCTTCGCCGGCTGCCACCTCGACGACGACGAACGGACGCTCGCCAACTACGGCGTGCAGCACGACTCCGTCCTCTTCCTCGGCCTCCGCCTCCGCGCCGCCTCCACCACCCCATGCCAGTACGTGCGCGTTGCTCTGCTCTGTCAAACATTGCTTCCTTTCAATTCCGGCAAGAGGCGTTCGGCTGACACGATCGATCGTTGTGCTCGCGGGGCAGGGACGAGATGCATAGGTTGCAGGTGCCGGCCGGTTTGACGGCCGCGAAGCATGAGGTGCACCAGGAGATGCATGTGCATGCCCATGGCCACGCGGGTGCGAACGGCGCCGGTGGCGAGGAGCCGGAGAAGGCCAAGTCCAGGAAGCCGGCGTCGCGGCGCGCGCTCCGGAAGATCCTCTCGAGGCTGCACGTGGACGCCTGGACGAGGCAGCACGACGCCAAGCTGCTGGACCTGCTACAGCGCCACGCGGCGGGACGAGGCGGCGGCGTGGGCGACCTGACCGGCGAGGACTGGTCGGCCATCCGCGCCGAGCTGAACGCGGCGACGGGGTCCGGGTTCCCCGTGGAGGAGCTGCAGCGGCGGGTGGGCGAGTTCCGGCGCGAGCTCGAGACCGTGGGCCGGACCAAGAGCCACCCGCGGCTCGGCTACGACCCGCGCCGCCGGGTCGTCGTCGCCGAGGAGGCCGACTGGAAATGGTACACGCTGGTACGTGCGTGCCCTGGAATGCTGCATCTGTGGATCGATTGGTCTACCGTGAAATGCCTCTTTCTTATCTCCATCTGTTTCAGGAGAATCCCGATGCGGCGGCGTATGAGGGGAGGAGCCCGCGGCTGGCTCTCCTCCGAGCGGTTTTCGCCGGAGACGGGCGTGCCGGCGCCGGCGCGAAAAGCCGGGAGTCGCGGCCGAGGAGGTGCCTGAACAAGTTGCTGCGGAGTTTTGGGCTTCGATGTAAGCTGTAGTCTGACAGACCCACCGATCAGTCGATCACAGTTCACACTCTGTACAGTTGGATGAATTGGTTGCGGATTCGAACAATTTGTTTCCGTTGGACATATTTTACCCCAGATGAAAAAAAATCAGAAATGTCATTAGCCAGAGTGTTTTTTTTAATTATGATGAGCGAAGACAGTAGCTCTGCCGATTTCATTAAGTTTAGTTTAAAAGGGAAATAAGTTTAATATTCACAAAAAACAACTTCACAGAAAGTGTGCAAATCAAATATCCAAGTTAGAGAAGCCAACATGTGATTGGATGGTTAATCGGGTGGTTAAGCACCCTAACCCGTCATCTCCTTTTAAATTTCATTAGAAAAAACAAGGGATAGGCTACTTGTAAGTCGACATAAAATAAATTTAGGGCCAGTCGATCGTTTCAGCTTTCATATGCAGATCCAACAGCGGAGATGCCATCTTCTACCTCCGCCCCTCCGGCCTATCCAAGCAACCCCTATACATGGCTAGTTCTTTGGTGAAACTTCAGCCCTTCATATCTCTTTTTACGGTTTTCTCCTATGTCAAGTTCGATCTACCATGACCTCTCTTGACATTATCAACATGTTTTAGCCACCCGCTATGCACTGGAGTTTCTGGAGGCCTGTGCTAGATATGCCAAAACCATCTCACACGATGTTGCACAAACTTCTCTTCAATCGATGCTACCTCAACTCTATTCCGTATATCAACATTCCAATTGATGGGTTTTATAAGAAAGTAAAAAATGTTTATTCCAAGTTTTGGAGAACGAAAAAACTCCCATATATTCGTGATGAAATTAATTGCACCAGTAAATATTTAGACAAGAATATTTGATCAGTGATATTTGAAAAGTCTTAGTCTCTGGACCGGTGGTGGTGAGTATTTGAAAACTTCAGCAAATGTGGTGGCAAACCATAGCTGCCTCAAAAGTGACGGTTTTGTAACTTGATGATCACACCAAAATAAAAAGAAGACTCAAATATACCAAATGAATTAGATGGTTTTGAACAGAATAACTATAATTAACATGTTGTCAATATAAATCCTAGTAAGAGAGGGTATTTTTTTAAATAATGGGTATAACATTGTTTCACAACGACTTATTGGGGTCTTAGAAAATTAGATTGAAAGTTCTGATGGCTGAGGTCCTACGTTCTTCTTCGTCTCAACTTGTATATTCTTTCCCTAGAGGGTATACATTTGCACAATCGTGAGAATACCAGTGCATGGTTAGAATTTTATATAAAGTTGGCAGTTATGAGAAATAATATTGCGATCATGGCAATTATGACAATAGGATTTGAAACATGCATGGTAACTACTCTCCATGTTCCTAAATAAGTATTTTCAGAGATTCTACTGCAGACTACGTACGGATGTATATAGACATATTTTAGAATATATATTCACTCATCTTTTTCCGTATGCAGCTTCACATTGAAATCTCTAAAAGTACATATATTTATGAACGGACGGAGTATTAAATGAGTTCCCCGCAAGAAAAACTAGTACTAAATGAGTGTGACCTTGGTGTCAAGAAAGTAAGAAGAAAATGTACTATGTTCCAAGATTTGGAGAAGGAGAAAACTTGTATACGTCCATGATGAAATTAGATTCACCCCGTAGATCTTTAGACCAAAAATACGTTGTGCCAGCTTGTCTCGTCTTATTACTTCCTCCGTTTCAAAATAGATGACTCAACTTTGTATTAATTTTAGTGCAAAGTTAGTATAAAATTGGGTCATCTATTTTGAAACGGAGGGAGTACGTTGCAGGAAAATTCACAGGTCCTCTCAGTGAGCTGATGTATGGATGACTTGCTGGTTTCATTCAAGTAATAGAACCGAATTGGATTTCCGGGTACTGAAACGAGAGTACGCCTGTGCAAACGATCAAGGAAAACCAGGAGCAGGCCGGAATGACGCACGACACGTTTTATGATTATAATCATCATGCTACAAACGCCGCAGCCAGCGCAGCGGCGGCACAATCACATCGATCGGAACACAAGCAGAACAGACAAAGTTGTCAGTAATGCAGGAGAGTGACGTTGTACTCGATGATGGCGTCGCCGTTGCCGGTGTTGAGGTAGTGCGTGCGGAGCAGCGCGAAGCCGCGGGCCAGCCGGAAGGCGCCGCGGCCGCCGACGACGGCGAGCTCCCTGCCGTCGCCGTCCGTGACGGGGTTGCGCGAGAAGACCACGAAGGAGCTTCCGTTGTAGTCGTTGAGGGCGAAGTCGATGCCGAGGACGAGCCCCAGCCCGTGCCTGCCGGTGGACGCGTACAGGCCCTGCGCGCTGCCGACGACCCTGGACGTCCGCTGGGGCCCCTCCGTGAGCACGTCGTCGACGACGTAGACGGTGCTGAAGGGCGTGGGGTCGCCGGGCCTGGGCGTGGCGCCGGCGCCGTGCGCCACGGGGACGGCCGTCGGGTCGCGGTCGCTGAGGGTGTCGTGCAGGTAGAAGCGCAGGTTGGTGAGCTTCTCCTTGCCGAACCGGTGGCCGTGGGCGTCGGCGGCGTTGCGCGGGTGGGAGACGAGGAGGAGGACGAGGAGGACGGCGAGCAGGGACAGAGTCCTCATGGTGATGAACTGAATCTTGTTTCGTTTTTGTGGGATGGATGGATGGATCAAGCAGGTCCGGCTTGGATCTTTATAGGCGATGATGGAAGAAACAATGGTGGGCATATCTTACAGGATCAACGAAGGAAACTATTAACAGTACTGAAATAATGGTGTGCGTTTCATCTGGAATACGCTCCGCTGGCAGTATGACAGTTGACAGCAGTACAAGACTACAAAGAGAAGGAAATTACACGAGCCTAAAAGGGTGCCATATTGATGGCAATATCTATTGTCCCCAAATAATGACCGGGGATCACTGCAAACCTGTCTAGATTCACGGCCTCATTGGACAAGCCAAGACTAGCGATTCAGAGCTGAAAACTCACATAACCGTATGGGACACTGAGGGCACAGCATGCAGCAGAGTGTAATTCCCAGAATTACACGTTTCTAAGGGCGAACCAACCATGGGTTACATCCAGAACGCTCGAACCTCAAAGAACTTGTCATATCTGGACACTTTGTAAGAGCGAGCACGTGGGTTCGCCCGCTGGTTCCCGTTGGTTTTATCCTTTAAATTCTTTCATTGGTTCTCATATTTTGTAGATTCGTTTTATTCGCTATTATTTAAATAACTTGTACTCCCTTCGTTTCTAAATATAAGTCTTTGTGAAGATTTTACTATGACTACATACGGAGCAAAATGAGTGAATCTACACTCTTAACGCATCTATATACATCCGTATGTGGCAGGTCAATAGTGAAATATCTATAAAGACTTATATTTAGGAACGGATGGAGTATATTTTTTATGTGCAAAGATCGTGATGTGTTGAGGCCAATCCTTCTAATGATTTCCTATTCTATCTACTATCAATGGGATCTTTTAACACTCAGATATACCCCCTTAATTGAATTTATTTGGATAAGCACGAGCTTCATACCATTGTGTATATATAAAGGAATTATGTGGTATTTGTTAAGACCAAACATAAACATACCGGTGAAAAGAGTAGTGGAGATTGTTCCCTATTGCTCCGTGTACTTAGGCAATGGCGAATGATAGCATCCTTCATGTCTTCATTGTTTTTCTCATCGCTCAAGTCTGCCTGCTCATGATGATGATAGCGCCGGTGACACATGCAGCTGGTAGGCTTATGGGCTATAATCCAGTTTGCTGCCCTAGGGACATCTATTGTTGTGGATTTGGTGGCGTGATGGCTAATGGAACCTCATCCTCCATTGAGCCTTAATATGTAATTTCTTTCTCCTTTGAGTAATAAGCTAGGGAAAATAAAAGATGTTTCTACATCGCCTTGTTGCTTCAATTGCAATACGTGCCACTACTTTCAATAAATGTTGTTGGACAAGCTATTTAGTTAAAGAGGTGGGAGGAGATTGTTATCTATCTTTTTTGCAATATGCAGTTGATAAATTGAAATCATTTTTAGTTTAATGTTTTTGAGGTACTGATCATCCTATATCTTTTATGCTTAAACACATTTTTGATCATAATGGACCATATGTAGCTGATTTCAACGTATTTCGACACATACAGTTAATCCAGCTATTTTTTAAAAATAATACATTATTTTTATTAATTTTCATAAATATTACGCTGGATAAAAAATTTCAAAAATAATACACCGTCGGCCCGCTGCAGGCCGACTGGGCCTAGTCGGCCCACAGCAGGCCGATTGAATTCCAGTCGGCCTACAGCTGGCCGACTGGCCCTTGTCGGCCCACTGTGGGGTGATTGCGTCCTGTCGGTCCACTGTGGGCCGACTGGAGCTAATTGGCTCGCTGTGGGCTAATTGTTTTTGCAAAAAAAGTAGGCATAAAAAATATATGTTTAAAAAAATGTTAATCATGTAATTAAAAAATGTTAAACATGTATAAAAAAATGTTCCGGATGTATATAAAAAATGTACAATATATATGAAAAAGTTGACATAAAAAATATGTTTTAAAAAGTGTTAAGCATGTATTTAAAAATTGTTAAATGTGTGTATAAAAATGTTCCTTATTTATACAAAAAATATAGAATGTGTATGCTAAAAAGTTGACACCAAAAAAATATGTTTGAAAAGTTGACATTTTTTCAAATACATGATTAAAAATTGTTAAATGTGTGTATAAAAATTGTTTCTTATCTATACAAAAAATATAGAATGTGTATGAAAAAAAGTTGACACCAAAAAATATGTTTGAAAAAAATGTTCCAGTTCCATACAAAAAGTGCAACCAACCATACTTAGGTCTGTGATGCTCCCATACCGGATCCGGAGCTGGAACATTTTTTTATACACGTTTAACCTTTCATTCCAATACATGAAACATTTTTGTGTACTCGTTGAACATTTTTTCAAATACATGATTAACATTTTTCTTCAAACATATTTTTTTGGTGTCAACTTTTTTTCATACACATTCTATATTTTTTGTATAGATAAGGAACATATTTTCAAATACATGATTAACATTTTTTACAAACATATTTGTTTGGTGTCAACTTTTTAGCATACACATTCTATATTTTTTGTATAAATAAGGAACATTTTTATACACACATTTAACAATTTTTAAATACATGCTTAACACTTTTAAAACATATTTTTTATGTCAACTTTTTCATATATATTGTACATTTTTTTGTATACATCCGGAACATTTTTTTATACATGTTTAACATTTTTTAATTACATGATTAACATTTTTTTAAACATATATTTTTTATGCCTACTTTTTTTTGCAAAAACAATTAGCCCACAGCGAGCCAATTAGCTCCAGTCGGCCCACAGTGGGCCGACAGGACACAATCAGCCCATAGTGGGCCGACAGGGGCCAGTCGGCCAGCTGTAGGCCGACTGGAATTCAATCGGCCTGCTGTGGGCCGACTAGTCCCAGTCGGCCTGCAGCGGGCCGACGGTGTATTAATTTTGAATTTTTTTTATCCAGCGTAATATTTATGAAAATTAATAAAAATAAAACACACCTCCAAAATAATTTTTGTGGGGGATATATGTGAGCATGTTGAAGGCACTTGTCGATCATGCACCCCGTTGGCCCGCGCGTGACAACCTTTTTCATGGTGATGTTATGTTCGTCTGCCTTGTGAGCTCGACATGTTGTGGTGATGCAGGCCACCTTAATAGAGACAAATGTGTGGATTTGAGCAATGCTACGTGGGAAGAGTTGATTGTATTGTTCGGCATAGGGTGGATTAGCAGAAGGTGTAGGATGAGAGGTCACGGGAGAGGAGTGCTAATAAGGATCAGAGGTGGAGGAGCCGATCGATGTCATTCGTTGGTTGATTTTTTTTCATGATAAAGGACACGCTATTTGACTCATAATGACAAATCAAATGAGTTTCTATCTAGCCTCCGCATAATTAGAATGCACACAACCGCCATCAACCAATGGTCCCACGCACACAAAGTGAAGATAAAATACATAGGGTGCATGACTAATACAAAACGAACTCATGCAAGTCGTCAAGGATTGAAATATCAGTCAACCCACATTTCTTCAGGGATAACACAATGCAGTGTGTTCAATTATTTTCATAGGACAGTACATTTATAACCAAATTCGAAATAATTAATTTCATAAATCATGCCAGTCTTAGATATCAGTTTAAAAACTAGAACCGATTCCTTTCACTAGCATGAATTCAGAGGCCGCTCTTCTCCCAGACACAATAGTTGTTGCCTTTAGCTGCAATCTTGAAACCCGAGGGGATCACATTGTCGCCAATATTGTATCTTGACCCGATCTTGGTTATAACCTTGCCCCCAATCTTGGCAACATAGAGATCGCCCTCGGCTTTGAGGATATCCAGTGTGCTACCCGGATGGATCCCGTTCCTTGACCTGACCGTAGCCAGTGCGGTGATCTCCTGCTTCAGTTTCCAGTCGAACACATGGTCGTAGAACTGCGCGCGCAAAACCAAGTAGTTGTAAGTTCAGATCACAAACATCGTGGGGTACGTTTGATGCGAAATGTTATGGTGAGGTTGTGTAGTGTGCTACTACTTACGATGCATGGTATGCCCGGGTGTGTGAGGATGTAGGCGTAGCCCTGCATGACCTTGTCCGAGGGGAATGGCCACAGCCTCTGCGTCGACCCAGTGTCGTGGTTGTCGATGAACGTGACGGTCTTCTCCGGCATCCACCCAATCATACCGGGCGCCTTGCCGTCGCTGCCGCGCATCCTCCCCAGATCGCCCTGGACGGCCTCCTGGAGAACGCCCTTGGTGGGGAAGTCAAACGCCGTGGCCGGCCCGCCGACGCCCCGCACCCAGTTCGCGAGCAGCTGTCGGTCCCGGTCGTAGAGCTCGCCAACGACGAACGCCGGCTTGCTGTTGTCGACGTAGATCTTGGCCATGGCCGCGGAGTATCCCTTGGCGAAGTCGAGGCGCCATCCGTCGAAGCCGAGGTCGGTTTTGAGCCAGTTGAGCCAGGCGGAGAGCTCCCTCTGGACCCGCGGGTTGAGGTGGTCGATGTCGGGCGCGGCGTCGAAGCCACCGCCGGTGTCCCTGTGGCCGCGGCCGTTGGAGTACTTGGTGTCGTCGCTGCAGATCTCGTCGGGGCCCCAGTCGAGGCGGTTGTCGGACGTCCCGCCCTCGAAGATGCAGTAGACGCCGCGGCCGTCCTTCTTGTCGGCGCAGCGGTGGTTGATGACGATGTCGGCGACGCACGAGATGTTCTTGCCGCGGAACGCCTGGATCAGCGACTTGAGGTCGGCCCCGCTGCCGTACTTGGAGTTGAGGTTGTAGAGCTGCCCCGGCAGATAGCCCTCCGGCGACACGGATTGCGACGGCGGGGGGAGCCAGACGTGGGTGGCGCCGGTGCTGGCGATCTCCTCCACCTTCCCTTGCATGAACTTGTACCACCCGCCTTGTGTCTTCCACGATTCCCAATTAAACCCCTGGCCAACGAAACACCAAAGCACATTTCATCATATGAAAAATTCTGGGTGCAAATGAAACTTGAAGATGCATGCATTTTCTCACCTGGAAAAGAATTTGAGCCTGTGCTAAGCTGGAGGCGAGACAAAGCACAACAACCAGAAGGCCACAGAGAGTAGCAGAGTGCTTGCCCATAGCTACAGTCTGCAGTGCAGCTCGCCTCTACTTCCTATGAAATCTGGACTCCTGGACCGACGACTACTCCTTGGTTTGGCAATGCTTGAGCTCGCTTGTATTTATAGGTACTTGGAGCTTAGAGATTAGTAGGTGCCTAGTAAAAACTATCAATTCTCCTTAATTTTTCTCCAAAGATATCCGCATGGATAAGGACCGCTGGCTTCTGAGATAAAATGGATTAGGAGCTAAAGTTTTGTCTATTAATTACTGCCGTTTAATTACTCTCCATGTATATCTGCACTAGACAAGCACTCTGCTCATAGTTTTGAAAACCGGAACCGGCGATTCCTGCAGTTCTTTAAGTCTGGTGGACCGATTGAGTCCAACCAGGAAAACCCGGTCGAATCAGACGTTTTTTGAAAAAAAACCGATGAACCGGGCGGTTCACATAAAACCGGATGGTTTGATGTTGATTCTAGAAAAAAACCTCGATTGGCTTGTTTTTGTGTGTACAAGGTGAGGCTAGAGTCGGTAAAGATAAAAAAAGAATCTTTTTACATGGTGGCGCGGCGACCTGGCCTCCCCCTCGCCGCTCCGGCTCAGGCGAGGGTGCAGTTGGGTGCAGTTGGAGGAGCGGCTGCTAGAACTCTTATTATATACTCCTTCCGTTTCTTTTTACTCTCTGTGTTAGATTTCTGAAAATTCAAACTTTATAAAGTTTGACCAAAATTATATCAAAAAATATCAACATCTACAACACCAGGGGCTTCTTAGCCCATCATCTTCTTTAATTATATATATATATATATATATATATGTATATATATATATATATAATTAAAGCAGCTACAATACCAAAAATATATATATCACACTCGTGTGTATTCAAGGAAAAAAGCAGCTACAATACCAAAAAATATATAATATGAAAATATATTTCATGATGGATCTGATGATATAGATTTTGCATTGTGAATGTTAATAATTTTTTTTTGTGTGAACTTGGTCAAAGTTTGAAGAGTTTGAATTCAGACAATCCTAATACGCAGAGTAAAAGGAAATGTAGGGAATGCACTTCAAAGTCTTTATTTATACAAAGTCCATATTTTTTAATAACATGCAAATTATGAAGACCACAGTTGCACAATTATTATACGTGCAGCTATAATGTTTCATTCGCTCAGCACAAAATCACTTGCTCCCTTTTTAACGGGTCGACACAAATCATTTATTTACTGAAAAAAGTGATGCTTCCGTACATGGAGAAAATGTTTCCGTACTCCCATGACAAAAAGAATGCATCTTCAGAAACGTCGCCAATCATTTTTTTAACATTAGTATAGACGCAAGCGCTCATACATATGCGCATACACTCAATCCTATGAACGCACACACGCACACCCTACCTCTACATCTCCGAGAGACTGAGCCGACATGTCATCTTGAAATTTACGAAGTCATCGTAGGCACCTCGTCGGCGGCGGGAACGTCTCCTCCCACTGAAAGCGCATCTCCGGAAATCCTGAAATAAATCCAGGCATAATGCGAGCACCAGGACTTGAACCCTGGTGGGCTGGGATACCACTGTCCCTCTAACCATCCAACTACAGATTGGTTCGCACGTCGCCAATCATTTGATAGACAGTGGTCGTACCAAAATTGTTGCTCCCTAAAGTTGCGTGATTTTTTTTTCTGCACAAGCAAATAGGTTGTTCTTCTTCTTTCGTAAAGATGGATAATAGGAAATAGAAGATGATATGTGACTACAACGACTTCTATATGAAATAAAGATGATTTACAAGAACTAATTGAAATGTAAAAGGGCTAAAAGAAATCCAATAATTATCATGATAGAAAATATGTATCCGGTTTTGTATGTGCTTATGCATTGGCAACCATACTAACTTATAATGATGTAAGACGCTTTGTATGTATAGAAACTGAAATGAGTTATGAAGAAAAATAAAGATGGAAGAAAAAGTATTCTAGAGTATTTGTCAAGCTTGACGTTATCAAGCTTTTAGGTCAGCTTCTAAATTACAAAAAAAATGATGAATCCTCAAATAAGAAAGAACAAACAATTTGGAACATGCTACAAAACTGGTGAAGATAAAAAGCATTCATCCTCTTTTTCCTTGTCGTAAGGAGTAGCTTCAGCATACATTTGTAATAGTGTAATACCTGATCCGGAAAAAGTTGTTCCTTATTATTATTGGAGGAAAGAGACGTGCAGACAAAGAAAGAGAGACGGTGCAAATAAGGCCTTAAACATCATGTCTTCAAGTTTGATGACTTCAGATATGTTGGATCATTCGAAACTGCACAAGTATATAAGAATAAATATATGTGCCAAAATAGTGAAAGGTATTTGGTTTCTTTGTCATGAAACAAAATAAATCCGATTGACTACAATTTATATGATTTCTCTGTATCAATATACGGCAGTTGTATTAGTACAAATCCCTTGAAGGATCTATTTATTGGAACTCAGCCGGATTAGTTTCTTCATTGGATCCTTCTGTATGATAAAATTCTCTTTATTGGAACACAGTAGAGATTGCATACCTTTACAGAACAGCGAGAGATATTCTCCAACAACAGTTACAGAGTCATGTGACCCGTTTTAGATGTATAGAATCATGTAACTGAAATAGTAGTACATCTTCAATATCTTGCCTCCTACTGAATCTTATATAATTTACTGGTTTGTTGTGCAATTATGTTAAAGTGACGCGTGTAAAGTTTTCTCTAAGAATGAATCATATATTCCGATTTCCAACCTATCCCTAGAGATAGTGCCTAGGCAGGTGCAACCCACCTTAATTTCAGGTAAAGCAACGTCATACGTAAAATACACACTGATCAAATAGCACAAATAATACAATTCTAATCAAGGGGATGGCGTTACCTCTTGATACGGTCCAGTTTTATGCATATGGTGGTACGAAGTAAAGCCCAAGGAAGCCGACATAAACATGAAAAGTAATCATGGAAAATAGACTATGCATCTTGACTTCTTCAGTATCCCTCTTGATCCTACTTTGTAAGACAAGATTGCTGCATTTTTATGTACGTGCCATATATAATTACACCTTTTCAGTACAGCAATCGGCAACCTAAGATAATCCCAAATCTATAATTCTAGATTGCTTGAAGCCCCACGATTCTTATTTAATATGTAATGCACGTGCACCCACTGAACATACATTTTGCCGGCGTGGGTGCTGCGAATGGAGCTGAAGTCAACACGGATATCGATGGTTGCCGGAGAGCATGCCCTGGACGTGGATGGAGTCATCGCAGTAGCGGCAGAAGAGCGCATGGCCTCCAAACAGAAGACGATGGCGGTGATAGCACGTGTGTTCCCGGAGGAAGACGAAGCTCCTCGCGCTTCCCCCATCGTGGCTAGCATGCATGATGGCGGCAGGCGGCTCGCTTAGCTTCCTAATAGGATGGATGCGTTCGGGATAAGTTTTTTAATAAGATGAATTTGTCTAAGATTAGTTTCCTAATAGGATGGATGCACTCTGATTTAGTTTCCTAGAATAGGATGCACCCGTGATTATTAGTTTCCTAATTGATCAAGCGTGGAGTTTCATATTTTCCTTCACGGTGGAGTACGGTCAGTCAATGTAAATTGCTAAGTGCACACAGAAAATGGTTTAGGTTAAGGCTAACCGTTAGATTGATTTTAGTGGGCCTAATCGTGCGGTGGTATTGGATCTGTGTACGCTTTGTGGGTTGTGCTTAAAGAAGTTCTTGTTTGATTGTTTCCGTGTTTAGTCAGATTAGTCAGATTATCAGATTAGTCAGAAGATTAGTCAGATAAGTACGATCTAGAGATCGCTCGTTAGCCCAAATCCCACAACGCATGCTGCATTCAGCTCGACAATACTCACATTGCCACGCCCCGTGCACTTTAAAAAGGCAGCGCACCCCCCGATTCGATCACGGGCATGCGCCGTTGATTTACCCACGCATCCCCATCGGTGACGGCGTGGGAGATCCCTTCCCACGGCCGACTGGACTTCGCCGATGTGTTCAAGCCCACCGGTGTCCCAGCGGCGGCGACCGCGGTGCACGTGCCCACTCCGCCGTCGGAGTGGCCGGCGTCCCGCCCTGAGTCCTGCACCATGTACGTCCCCGCTCCCGATCCGGAGATGTCGTACTTCACGCGGCGCCACGCGTACGCCTACATCAGCCCAGACACGGCGCCGGGCCACGCGAACCCAGAGGCCTTCTTCCGCGCCGTCTTCCGCACCCTGGCTCCGGACCTGTCGCAGGACCTGGAGCTCCAAACGCCCAGCTACTTCAGCGACGTGGTGGTGTGCTTCCGCACGCCGGAGGACCGGGAGGCGGCCATGCGCAGGCAGCCGTTCGAGGTGGCCGGCGTGACGGTGAAGCTGGTGCGCGAGGGGGAGATGCCCAACGTCACCTTCACCCCGATGGAGTGCCTCGCCCACGTCGCTCTGCACCGCTACCCCGTGGAGGAGCGGACGGAGGAGGAGATCCGCGGCAACTGCTGCCACTTCGGGGGCGTGCTGGAGGTCGACCGTGCTTGCTTCACGGCGCCCGACCTTTCCACCGTCTTCGTCGTACTTAACATGGAGCACCCTCGAGAGATCCCCCGCGAGCTCCGGATCAGGTACAGCGACGGCTCACGCTGCGTCGTCCCCATTGAGATCCTCAGGGTTTGGGATCGGTCTGAGTCCCTCGACGCCAATGGAGAGCACGTGCCTCTCTTCCAGCCACTGCCTGCGGCGGCTTGATTGGTATCATCAGTTGGCTATTGTTGCTGCTGCAAGTGGTGCCCGATGGGATTGGCAGCAAGCTAGCAGTATTCACCGAGTCCTTAATAAGAGCATTAGTCGGCTTTAGTCTCGTTAATGTTTGTTAGTATGCATAGCTACTATGTTAGTGCGTGATTTCTGAGAACTGCATCACTGTATGATGATGTGGGAAAAGCTTGCGGGTGTTGTCATCCAACCGGGCGTCAAAGATAGTATTTTGTGAAAGCTCACCAATGATGACAACTACTCCGCTAAGTCTGCATATTTGGCACAGTTCGCTGGACTCATCCACTCTAGCTTCCAGGTCTCGGTTTGGAAGGCTTGGACCCCTCCTAAATGCAAATTCTTCACCTGGTTAGTCAATCAAAATAGGATTTGGACCGCGGATAGGCTGCAACGCCGAGGATGGCCAAACTGTGACCGATGCCCGCTTTGCAATCAGGTGCAAGATTCGGCAACCCACCTCCTTTTCAAGTGCAAGTTCTCTCTCTGGGTTTGGGATGAGGTGTTCTCCTGGCTCGGGCTTGCTATTCCCATGGCTACTTGGCACCAATTCGGCACAGTTAAATCTTGGTAGGATGAGCTACTCTCGAACAACACCCAACCGGTTAAGGCTTTATCTTCTCTACTACTTCTTGTGGGGTGGGAACTTTGGAAGGAACGGAATGCACGCGTCTTCAGAAGCAAGGCGGCGCCGGTGGCGATCGTCACACGGATCATCAAATAAGAAATGTCTATTTGGGCTATTGCCGGTGCCAAGAACTTGAGCAATGCAATGCCGCGAGAGTAATCCGTTTAGGCTTTTGCCAAGTAGCCGTGGGAGCACTGAAAGAAACTGAAAATAACTGTCGTTGGTTTAGTATAACTTTGTGACACTTATTTTGAAACTGTGGGAGAACTTGCTTATTATCGCTAGCTGCCTCCCGGGTCGCTCCCAAGCGGGACGAGGATCCAGTGCCTTGCTGTGGCCAAGGCACAGCGTACCTTGCCCCCTCCCATCCACCATTGGAATTGATCCAGCGGCCAAAAGAAACTGAATGAGTGGACAAAACAACAGAAAACAGAGTGCACTTTTTTCAGACAGAGAAGAGAGCAGAGAATTGGTTCAGTTAACACAATACAGTACAATTCAGTTTAGCAAACTTCAACAAAAAAGAAGAACGTCTCAACACATCATCAACACAAAAAAGGAGTACATCCCAACACTTCAATACAAATACAACTTTCTAAACTTACTAGAAGTTTTAGCACACAACAACAACAGAAAGTTGAACACAATACATATTCTTTTGCAAGTCTGAACAAAGTAATTTTTAAAGCACTTGACATTGAAATTTGTTCTTACATAATCATTCAAGTACATAGAGTTGGCCCTTTTACCAGTGGACATAGGCCACAAAAGACTATAGTTAGCCCACAAGTCCAAAATACTATAGTCAACCCTGTCCAAAATACAGTCGACACCACCCAAAATACTATCTAACAAGCTTGTACATGCTAGAACAGATTTTCATCATAACTGGTAGTTGTCAAGAGCTGCATGTAACTCATTATCTTGTTGCACTCTTGAAACTCTATATTTGCTCCTTTATCATGCCCATCCTTCTCCACTCCTACTTGAGGCTCTACACCATCATGTTTCTTGTGTTGCTACAATAAAAATTCTAGTAAGTTTAGGAATGAACGGTAACAACACATCATGTACATATTGCTACATACCTTTGCTCTTTCGTTTTTGGATGGAGCAACTTTAGTTGGCTTGCGCTTCCTTTTGAGTAACTTATCAAGCCAAGTTTGTCTTCTCCTCAATCTTTTTGATTGGACCTCTTTTTTCTTGAGCTTTGCAACACTAAGAACCTCATTTGTTTGTTGCATATTTGGGTCAACATTTTATTTGTCATTGCATGCCTTATTCGGCGCATTGGTAGTTGCATTGAGTTTATCTTCTAGTTGTAGACCAATGCAATCAAGTGCATTTTCTAACATCAAACAACATTCTAGAGAGTAGGCTATTTTGTATGCCAAAGTGTGAAATTTGTGAGACAAATCCTTGTACCGAAGTTGGGCTTCCAACTTTGGATTTTCTATCACATTCCTTCCTTGTCTATCTTGTATGCTTCCATTGCGTGCTTCTCTAGTCCATCTCTTTAAGATATAATGTGCTGGCAATACTTTTATATTCATCAAATCAAGCACTTTGAGACCATGTCCACACAATATTCCCGTCCTATTGAACATTCCACAACTACATGAAACTTTTGGGTTAGAGGATCACCAATCACTATGCGCTCCTCCTCGAATTTTAAATCACCATGCAAACTCCCAATAGCAACCGCGAACTTGTTATGTCCATCCAATGCTCTAGTGCATGCAACCATCGATCTTTCATATTCACTTTGAAAAGCTTCAAAAATAATTGGAGTGTACTCTTTGCTTGCTAGCACCAACATAGGTGTGTGCATCTTGATTCTTGGCAACTTCTTCCTTGCATCAAATTCAGATTGCAATTCCTTTCTTCGTTTTACTTCCACTACCCTCTCAAAATGCATCAAGAACCGAACAATATGAAAATCTGATTTCAAATGGTTTTTCAGTTAATTGTTGAAGCTTTCACTAAGTTGTGTACTTATCACTCCCAAACTAAACACATCTCTCATATAACATTCAACCCATTTTTCTTTCAACTTGTAGATACTATCAAATCAAGTTTCCTTATGCACTTTATGCCTCAAATTGTCAAATGCTTCTTGAAATTCTGTTTTGTCCTCATAGCCATACATACATTCACTAAAATCAGTAAGAATATGAGACTCCTCATCTTCATCTTCATCTTTTTCTGCCCCTTCATCTTTCTCTTTCCCTTCATCTTTTCCTTCACTCTTCAATGGAGATAAATCCTTGACGGCATTTTGCATTATATGAAAAGTGCACAATCCATGGTAGGATTCTGTGAAGACTTTTCCTATAGCTTTCCCCATTGCTGCATCTTGATCCGTATAAATAGTTCTAGGTTGCCTCCCATTATGCGTAGCTAGAAAGGTCTCAAAAAGCCATGTAAATGAGTCACATGTTTCATCAAATAGCAATGCAGCACCAAAAATGGTGGTTTCTCTAAACTGATTGAGTCCAAGGAAAACACCAAATGTCCTATATTCTTTAGAAAAATGGTGCCAAAAGTAGTACGAATGTGACAACATCGCCAAAAGTGTGCATAGTCAAGAACCATTTTAGCATCAGCCCAGAATATATTGGTTATATGCTCCTCACAGTCCAACTGCAAAGCATATTGGAAAGATGGGTTCTCAATGATTTTGTCATGGAAGTACTTCGACATACTTCCAGCCTGTCCAAAAGCCAACTCTCTATGATGCTTTCTTCTCAAATGATTCTTTTGGTCAACACAAGTGTAGCCGAGGTTAAGTGGTCCACCAACTCGACGACAAGCAAGCTCATGTGCAGCTTTTGGCATGATTCCAGAATCATCAGCGGCTTCTATTTCAAAAGCTTGTACTTCGGAAATCTTCCTTTGTGGTGCCATCAAGTGACAAGTTTGTGGCAATTGAAGGTAATGATTGTGTTCTAGCACAATATCCGTGACTTCATAATTTTTTGCCACTTGATCCAATGTTATAGTCATCCGAGCTTTGCAATCCGTTCTTGTTTCAGCTCTAATACGCTTTGGCACATGATCCAATGTTATCCCTTTCTTTCAAATACCCTCATTTGAACAAACAAATCTGAATGAAGTCACTTCACCATCACACTTGCTTACATTTTTGTTTCTCTTCCTCACATCAAACCCTGCATGGCCCCCATATGCAACCCAAAACACCCAAGCTTCATCTGCATTTCTGAACCTCATACCAACTTGAGGTATTCCCTTGCCAATTTCTCCCATTGCACAACACTTGCAAATACACAACACTGACAGCACTCAAATCTTGCCAAATTGCACACACCGCAAGCCCAATCAGCAACAATTCTGTCAAATAGGACAGTACATATGTCACTCAATTTGACAGAGCACATTAAAAAAATGCTAAATGGCAAAGTGGCTACCTGCAGGGGCCGGGCCTAGAGCTTGCTTAATGGACACTGCTCAAGGAGGGGTCGCAAGGGGGCGGAGGGAGCTGTGGGAGGGGTGGGGTGGAGTAGCCCGTAGTGGCGGCGGAGGAACCTGCTGCCGCCATTTTCTTCAGTGGACGCCGCCCGAGCTCGATCCACTCCCTTTCCAGCGGCGGGGCGGGCGAACAGCGGCGGCTGCGGGACGGGCGAGATGCTGCGGCGGCTGGCGAGCGGCAGGGCGGGCGAGATGCGGCGACAACAGGGTGGACGAGATGTGGCGGCGGCGAGGCGAGCGAGCAGTGGCGGTGGGTGCCGCACAGTTTTCTCCCAGCCTGCACGCCATTTCCCCTGTCCCGCTCGAGAATTTTCCGCTGGTTTTGTCGATTGGCTGTGAACTGCTGCTGGCCATTGGATCAATTCCAATGGTGGATGGGAGGGGGCAAAGTATGCTGTGCCTTGGCCATAACAAGGCACCGGATCCTCATCCTCCCAAGCGACTCCGGAGGCATCACCGCCGCCACACAACAAGTCGATCCTAGCCACCAAATCCCCCTGTCACTGCTGGAGGAGGCAGACTCTCGGCGAACTGTGACAGCGGGGCCGTCCTCGCTACTTCCTCTCTCCCCGGATCTAGCCTCTTCTCCAACCCCCATACCTTCAGTCGCCGGCAGGTCCTAGCGTTGGGATGCTCCAGCGACTCTGCACCGGTGTTTGGAGGAGGCATGTAACGCCCTCGATGCGGCTATAGCTCCCACGTGTCGAGGCACGACTTAGAGACATAACCGCATTGAAAGCAATGTCGCAAGTCA